TAATAATAATATGTTATAAAATAAATATTGCTATGATTAAATACATTTTTTTTAAATCCTAGTATAAGTTAACATATAATTGACATTATTAATTCTTAGATTATTAAAAAGATTGATAATATTCGGAACCTCTGTTTTAAACATTTGAAGTATGGATGAAAATTTTATAGAAATATTTTTAAAAAGGTTTATTATGTGGTACTTCTAAAACCTTATCTTGAGTTAAGGGCTCTTTATTATTGAATGCAATTGTGTCTCAGTTTGATAAAGATAAAATTTTCGCTTTTTTATGATAGAAATACCTAAAGTTAAGGACATGATTTCGGACCAGTCGATCCTGATTTTTTAATCCATCTAATACTATCCCAATATTCTGCAGTATAAAATGATTAAACATAAATCTTCTATCATTCCATGCACATACATGTCCATTAGAACCAACTACACGAGATAATTCTGCTAAATAGTTTAAACAACTAAATGGAGCGTATGAGCAATTAATGGAAAGAGAATATTTAGAAATAATATCAATAATATCATCAAAATTATATATTAAATTATCATCAATCTTAGGGTCTCTAAGATCAAACTTAACCAGAAAGTATTGAATAGAATCAATATTTAATACTTATTTCCCAAAAAATAACAGAATGGAAAAAATAAATAATAAATATTAAACCAATTAATAATAATATGGAAGAACCATCTTAATATGTTAACTAATATTGTAAGGGATTAATGTATTTAATGCAAATTTTTTCAAAACCATTCCATCGATATTAAGAAATATTAGATTATTTAGTATAAGAAATGATATTGGAAAGAAAGTTCTATAGAAGTAAAGATTATCTAGTTTGTGAATTCTTTGTCTTTCACTTAATAAAAATTTAATCTTAAGTCCCTGAAAAAGAATTATTATTGCTATGTCAAGAATAAATTACACAAATGGGGATGATAGAAAAAGATGAAAATGCTAGAGCCTTTCTAAAAAATAAAGAGATAATAGAAAGATAATAGAAATGTAAAAATTACTGTTTTCTCATGATCTTATTCTCTTCAAATACTAAAGAAGAGATGAATTAAAAGACGGATGAGATTGAATAAGCAATAAGCTTTGAAGGTAGCCTATTGAACAAAGATATCTATTTTGTATACAACCCATTAAAAACATAAGAAATTAATATTGTTACAGGATAAATTTAAAAGAATTATTAAAATTGATTAATTTCTTAGTTGTTTGTTGAAGAAGCTAAATAAAACATAGAAGATGACAAGGAAGGAGAAGTTAATATTTATATATGAGAAAAGACAAAAGATGTAATGTTAATCAAAGGTCAAGCTGGGTCAGGGAAAAGTAGAGCAGCTAGAAGGATTGAAGAAAATTTATGGAAACAAAATCAAGACTAAATTGATTGGATTCCAATCTATATATAATTGCCATAATAAAAATTACCCAAAGTCTAATCTACAAGCACTTGAATCTGAAAATTTTGGGTTTGATAAACTCTTGATAGTTATGATGAAATGATCTTGATTTTAATTAAATAAATAAAATAAAGAAGGTAAAATTTATAATAAACAAAATTAAACAAAAAAAATTTTTTTTAATTAATATTATTTACCAAATAGCATTCATAACAGTAAAGCAAGGGAATAGTATGCATGAAGATTCTCACCGAAAAACAATATGGAACTCAAGCACCCAGCCCTTCTAGCCCCTAATAGTCACTGATAAAAAGAAAATAGGTAGTTAAGTCCGATTCGAATTACCTAGATAATAATATTCAGAGAAAATACCCCAAATCGGACCGAAGGCACCAGATGGGAAAAAATATTTGTGCCCCAAACCTGAAAATGAAATAAGGATTACTTCATGGAACATGCATTATATTGACGTGTTATGTACAGAGAGAATGTTTTAAAACTTGATAAAACATAATAATAGCTTAAGAGGTAAAAAAAACATAAGAAATGGTGCAAAACCACTGGGATATAGGTGGATAGTGAAGGAAAGGAACAATAAGTTGTTGGCCATGTTGGCACCAAAGAAAATGATATTTAAAATATGGAGAACCAAAATTCGCTGAGAGAGGAGGTTTTTTTTTGGTGGAAGATTTTCATATTGGTACAATACACTAGACAATATAAAATAATGATTTCAGAGAAATTTTGAGTATGAAATAAATGAGACCTTTTATACCAGGAGGAGATCTTAATACAAGAGTTAAGAGGAAAATATCAGGATATTAGTCCTGTTTTGAAGGAAAGAATCCCAAAAAGAATATAAGAATAAAATTTTGGAAACTAAAAATAATTGATTATATTTTTGTACAAACACGATCCGTTTTGGAATAATTCTTAATAGTTAATATAAAAAGTTCAAGCCTTCGAATCATCTTCAAATTTAAATTATGATACTCAAGCCAGAGTATACGTCAATTAGGTACCCATATTTTGATTAGAAACGGGTATCAGACTTTTATTAAAATTATTACTAACTAAAAAATTATCCAAGGTCTTTATTTAATCAGAGCGTCAAGGTTAATTTTGGAGTAGTTTTTTCCACTTCATTAACTCATTTATTCAGTTATCATTTTATAATAACTACAATGTCATCAATTTTTTAGCAATTTATAATTGTAAACCAATAATTTATATACCATATCAAGTTTTTCTATTGGAAAAAAATATTAATTTTGGTTTGAAAATATAAAAAAAGTTTTTGAGAAAATTTTTTTTACTTGTGTTAAATCAAGTTTACGTTTTAATTATAAAGCAATCCTTTTTTTCAAAATAAATTTCATATTTTGAATTAAAAAAAATTATGTAAAGTATTTTTCATATATGTTTAAAATAACTCAATAAATTTAAAGATGATTTTAGATTGAAGAATATATAGCATCTATTGTTCTTTATGTAGAAAAGGTATTTCTTGAAAAAGAGTTTTGAAATATAAATTATGTATTTCTAATAGTATATATATATTATAAATTCAATTTTAGATGAATAATCCTTCATGCTTCCTTGTGGAAATCTAAGATATTTTTATTGCTTGTAGGATTTAAGGTAAATGAAAAGCTTGTCAAATAATACCATAGGAAGAGATAATAGTCAAATGTATAATACCTAGGACTACTAGACAAAGTTGGAGAACTGAATATGTCCAAATCACAAATAATATTATAACTTAATAAAACATACTGAAAGAATTGGGAGAATAAAGGAAGGATTAATCACAAATGCACTATAGAATAGCAGAGACGGATTATAAGAAAATAACTTCTGCATAGATAAATAATTTGGTTGAGATATAATAAAGATAGAGTGTTATGGAGAAACTTAGCAAGAAATAGAATAGGAGATTAAAGTTGATTTATCAAGAAATTAAAAAACTGTTAGATATACCAGAATTTAAGGAAGAAAATAAAGATGAAGTAAGAATTAGGAGTAAGAACATGGCAAAAGGAAAAAAGATGAATTAATTTGTTAAGAGATAAGAATTGGGAAATAGATTTAAGTGCTAAATAAAGCACTGTCTTATTATTTGATAGATCTAGTCACTATAATACCAAGTGGAAAAAAATGTTGGAAGATTAAAGATTCATACCTGAACAAGAAAAGAAACTTGATCTGCTAGATGTAGTAGATAGATTGAAAGATACTAAATATAACTTACAGATGAGATTTATACCACTAATAAAAGTTGCACCATATATACCGACGGAGAAACAGCAGTCCCATAACATAAAGCTCATTGAACTCTTTTATACGGAGAATTTATAACGGAAGATTAGATTTGATATTGAGTCTGACATGGTAGGGTTTGTTCTATGATTGAAACATAGATGTATTTAATTAAAGCAGCGGAATACCTAAAAAATTTAAGGATGAAAGAAAAAACAGTGTTTTTCATAGATGTACAGAACGCATATAATTTGTGTAGACAGAGAGAGACTTATATGATATAATTGTAAAGAAATGATGGATGGATAAAGCAGCAGCAGAATTCTTCATGACATTTTATGATGAGATGTATTATTAGACCCAATAGAAGAAAAGAGAGTATACCTGAAAAATGGATTACACTAAGGATCAATGATTGCACTCTTCATTTCCAAGAGGAATGTTAATATGAAAGAAATAGATATAATAATAATATAATTAAATCCAAGGAAAAATTGATTTGAAAAATGGAAGAGTATCAGAAAAATATCAAATTATAGGTACTTTGATTAATGGAGATACTCAATGTCTTATGCAGACATCATCAGGGTGTATTTCTGACTAAAGAGCACATTCATTTACACCAAATAACATCATACACACTAAGAGAAAAATGGGTGTAGGAGATGAGTAGAATTAATGGATATGTAATTTTAGATGCAAAGTTTGGAAAGAAAGCAGTCACAAGGTATAATAGAATCTAGATCCAAAAATGAGAGGGAATTTTCAGTTAAAAGGAATCTATCCAGAGCATGTATTTAAAAATAAAGCAGTATCCATACCATCAGGAACAGAAAAGGACGAACTGCAAATATTTTATAACATATATTATGCAATTAAATAATTCTCTTATTATTTTGCCAAAGAATGGTAAATTCGAAGAAAAACGACAACAACTGTTAAATTAATAAAATAGACTTAAGAAAGAAGCCTAAATACCATTACTATCTAAAAACTTAAGAATTAGAATAATTATTTTCAATAAAAAGAATAAATACATTTATGGAAAAAACTTTAAAGAATGAATTTTAAATTAGTCTGGTCATAATTACTAATTATCTATTGAATTTGAGATTAAAGGGTTAGAATAAATTGAAGAACATCAATAATAATAGCGTACACCTGAAAATTTCACATAATTTTATTAGGCTACTAATATAATTATCTTAAGGAAGGTAGATGAAAAATATAATCAGAATTTAACATCTATAATCAATAATTAAAAAAAAAATTGTATAAAACAGATATGGAAGAAGAAGTCAAAAAAATATATAAATCTCAGCAGAATCAGCACAATATTGAATTAACAACTTCAATATTTTAGTAAATAGATATGCAGCCTGAGTTTGAAAAGAAATCGAAAAGGATAATTAAAACACTGAAAGGAGGTTATTAGTAAAGTACCTTAGTAAAATACATGACAAATAAAAATAGAGAAAGAAAGTTGTGAGTTCAATAAACCAAATAGAGATCAAGAGTAATTGTAGAATATGGGAAGAGAATAAAGAGAAAGAAAAGTAATTGCAATTCAAGAGAGTAATTGTTTAATCGCCACTTAACTAGTAAAATTCTGTAATTTTACCTCTGCAATTCATTAACTAGCTTAACTTCTAAACTCTTACTTCCACAAAATAATTAGAATTGAAATCTAAAAAGAACACTGAGATGACAGTAAAAAGTAGAAGAATGCTGATAACTAAAGTAATTATCCGGAGAAGTAACTAGAATAAATATGTAAATAACAAAAATAGTCCTGCGATTAATGTGGACGTCCTTATGAAAATTTAAATAGTTATAAAACCCATGTATACCATAAACATGAAGGGTTACACCTTACGAAAAACAGATATAGTTAGAATGGAAAGGGAGTTGTGGCTAGTTTGAACTAGCCTGAGAAAGTCCACTAACCTAACTTATAATAATAATAACAACAATATATTAAAAAGTAGGATCAAATCCTTACCAATATAAATTCCATGTCAACCAAAAAGCTATAGTGAAAAACAACTCATTATCAAATTTTTATTTATTTAAATAAATGAAATGTTTTTGGTGATTTAATAAAATAAGTTGATAATCACTTTATTAAAAGCATATAGTATATAACATGTTATCAATATTACTTTTAAAGGTTTATATAAATAAGGAAATTAAAAATTACTACAAAAAGTATAAATAAAATAATTAAATAAAAAATGACATATTGTAATTATTACTCAGTTAATTAATCAAATGTATTCTAATAAGTTGTTGAGATGTATTTTGGCTTAATGAAGATTAATATTAATCTTGAATGATTTGGAATAACACTCAATCGCTTCTGTATATTTCTTTAAATTTTTTAAAGTCATTCCTAATTATTTTAATACGAAATATAAATATACCTTTATAAAAATATGTGTAGGAATCATTAGGGTCTTATGACTAATTATAGCACTCTAAAGCTTCTACATATCTTTTTAATACATGAACACCTAATTAATATCAAATATTATTTATACATTATTCTCGATGTTTAATGAAATCATTAGAGTAGATCTATAACGATTTATTATAGCACTCTAAAGCTTATACAAATCTGTTTAAATAATGTAAAGTAATGCCTAATAAACATCAAATACTAGTTAAACCTTATTCTCTATATGTATTGTGATCATTTGGGTTTATCTCTATGGATTAATTATAGCACTCTATAGCTTCTTCATATCTATTTAGCAAATGTAAAGATGCGCCTAATTATTCCAAATATGAGGTATACCTTTATTTCTATATGTTATAAAATCATTATTGTTAATCTCTAAAGATATATTATAACACTCTAAAGCTTCAAAATCTCTGTTTAATAAACTTAAAGTAACCCCTACTTATTATCAAATTTTAGTTAAACCTTTATTTGTATATGTATTAAAATCATTAGGGTTGATTTCTAATGATTTATTATAACACTCTAAAGCTTCCACATATCTATTTAAATAATGTAAAGTAACCCCTTGTAATTATTAACTATTAGTTTTACCTTTTTCTCTAAATGTTTAAGAATCATTAGAGTTTAACTCTAATGATTTATTATAACATTCTAAAGCTTATTCATATCTTTTGAAAAAATTTAAAGTAACCCCTTTTAATTATTAAACCATTAATTTTACCTTTATGTCTTAATGTTAAACAATCATTAGGATTGATCTCTAATGATTTATTATAACACTCTAAAGCTTCCTCATATCTGTTTAAACAATTTAAAGTAACCCCTTTTAATTATTAAACCATTAATTTTACCTTTATGTCTTAATGTTAAACAATCATTAGGATTGATCTCTAATGATTTATTATAACA